TGGGGAAGGGGGAATCCACAAGCAATTACGTCCTTTAAATTTTCTATTTTAGAGCTTTAATAATTGGTCCAAATGCAGTGATTAGACTTTGGCCAAACTGCCTGGAAGATGGAAAGAAGACTGTAAGCAACAAAACTCCACAATATTGTAACATAGCCTCAGACCTCCAGGAATGAGTCCCTCTCCCCTGAGAAGCTTTGTCCTTTCTGGATTGCTCCAATCGGAATTCAGAGCAGGCTCTGCGTTTCTGGCTTGCCTTTGTCCCAAGAGGAGACATCTGATCCCTCCAGCAACATTTAAGAAAAAGCTCCATGTAAACAAAAACATCTGGGGGCAGGGAGGAAAAACAAACAAACAAAAACCAACCTGGAAAGAAAAGCTCTTAGGAAATGACACATGCACATTAGCTAAACTCCAAATCGCCAAGAACACTTAGATTTAATTGAGAATTGTAATGTGATGGAAATCCCTTTCGAGAAGCTAGTTTCTGTAATGTGTGGATATGAAACAAAACAAAAGCCATTGTCATCAAATAAACTCTGACTCACAAGGATCCTACAGGACAAGGCAGAACTGCTTTACAACATTTCCAAGGATGTAATCATTATGGAAGCAGACCACACCTTCTGTCTCCGGAGGAACAGCTTGTGAGTTTGCAGCCCAGAGCCAAGACTTTTTTTTTAACACAAACTTGTCAGTAGCACTAAGTTGAAGGGGTTTTCAGGAACCAATAACTGGAACAACATCATGTTTGGAATTATTATAGATGAAAAAGAATTATACATCTTAACTTCAAGAAATTCATGCCCTACTATCCTGTCTAATTTTGGTAGCAAGTTCAAATTAAGAGTGTGACTTGAGATCATCACAGAATAATGACAGGAAAAGCATTTTTCCAATTCATTTATTGTTTGAATGACTGACCTGTATAACTGGATTTCTAAGGAATTTTTAATCCTTTTTTTTAAAAAAAAAAAGTCCAACGTTCCTATGGAAACAAATGTAATCTTTATGAAAAGTTCATTCTGCCTTTTATTTTTAAAGATTCCTAAGAATCCTTGGGCTTTGCTGGTGCTTTCCTCAACAATGTCTGTTAACTCTCCTTACCTTACGCAAGTGATTCTGGCCCTAGGGGACAGGTTACAGTGTTACAGACATTTTTTTCAATGTCACACTGAGATCAAGGGGTTTTTTTTTACTGGGTTCTTGTAGGTAGAGGTCAGGAAGGTTGCTTAAATGGAGCCTACAAGGTACAGGGCAGTCTCTGACAACAAAGAACAATGCAGTGCAAAATGTCAACAGTGCTAAGGCAGAGAAAGCCTGGTTTAAATCTAAAGAAACTCTCTGGACCTCACAATAAAACTGGCTTATTCTAATCAAACACTTTCCCAGTGATTTCCTCTAAAACACCCATTTCTAACAAATTTTAGAGTGCCTGATACATGCCCACTAGCATTTGGCCAGTCTATGAGAAGAAAAAGGTACTAAATATGGGAAAGCACATTTAACTCTCATTCAGACAATGTCTCCCTCTTGTACTCATTTTTATTTTAAAAAACAGATAACACAATGTTTTCTTCTATCAGCAGGGGAGCCTGGAAACATTGTGGGATATTCGTGATGGTCAGGAATATCACGAGAGAATAAAAACCCTCTTTAAAAAAAAAAAAAAGTTTAAGCACATAAAATAAGAAGTAGATATGCTACTTTGTGTAACTGGTGCTAAAGAACAGGCATACTTCAGAGGAATCATAGGTTCAGTTCCAGACCTCTATGACAAGAGTGAATCACACTTATCTTTTGATTCCCTAGTTTGTACTGGACTATTAAGTGTACAGTTAATGGCATAGTCTAACATGAGTTGTGGTGATAACCAAAAGGCCATAGTTGTCTTGTTCAAATACACCAGCAGCTCTGAGGGAGGAAAATGGGCAATCTCCCTTCATTGCAGTTTACAGCCTCAGAAACCCACTGTAGGGCCAGCTATGAACCGGTTCCAATTCAAAGGCTGTGAGGGAGTGAGTGAATATCATGACAAAGTTAAAAACATTACAATAATTACCAGAATGTGACCCAAAGATATGAAGTGGGCATGCACTGTGGGACAAATGAAGCCAAATGGCTTCCTTGGGTTGCAAGAAATTTTCAATTTTTTTGAGAAATCAGTATTTACAGAGAGGAATGCTAAAATTGTGGAAAAGACTTCCATCAGGTCACAAAGGTAGAAATGCTACTGGGCCGTGGTAAGTGCAGCTCATTGTGCAGTGATTGTTACTGCCTTCACACACAAAGGATCCCAGAATAATTTTTAAAAAGTTATTCTCAAGGGAGCTCTAGTAGCCTAATGGCAAGAAGCTCCACTGCAAACCCAAAAGCACGCAGTTTGAAGCCACCAGATGTTCCACTGGAGACAGAACTCTCCTGAAGAAGGGGCAATCTCCCAGTCAGATCACACCACAAGTTAAAAGGGAAAAAAAAAGTTATTTCCAGTTCTTTGAAAAAACAAACAAACGGGGGGAAAAAGAATGTATTTATGTACTTTCTGGAATTAAGCTTTAAGTATATAGGCACACCAAGCTGAACAACTGTGTTGTCTGATTTCAGAAAAGTGCAGTTTTAAATCTACTGTTCATCAGGTGCTACTGTCTCATGAACAGAGCTAATTTGAAGGAAAAATTTTAAACTTGCATTTCTTTGGGAGATTACAGGACAACTAAAGGGAGATTAAAACTCAAATAAAACCACCACATAGATATGGCATACGTCCCAGTGCTTGGAGTGGCAAATACCACCCACCTAAGCCAACAGAGATGCATTGCATGCTGTTAGCCTGTTGCTGCATTCTTAAGTGCACTCAAATTGCCTTTAAAAGGTGCTATTTCACATTCACTCTCCCCTGCAATTTGGGGCGATTACAGTGCACACTCTTCAAGGCTAGATTTAATTATATTGGAATTATGTGGAGGTTTTTCTCTTTCTAGAAAAATGCCTGAAAGATTAATACTACTATTTGGATGCAAACTAATATGCATTCCACTGCATAGAAGCAAGAAATTACAATCTGTCTTCCCTCTTTATAAAGGTAAAATTATGTGAAAACTAATGAAATCTTTAAACTTGAAAATGAGAAACCAATTTCTTCTTTCACTCTCAGCAAGACAATATTTATGTAGCAGGATCTGGCCCACAATGGTGAGCTTCACAATGAATGCCCTGGTAGGTGGAGATTCGAATTAAATTAAGAAAAACTGGTTTCCATTTTACTTTTTAACTATAAAGTGCATACAACCTTGATCAATTAACTACTAGGGATATGTACATATTTATAGACGGCTTTCTAGTTACCTAATTTGCAGTTCATTGTTAAGAAACAAATAAATGTTCTTATCCTACAGAGCACAATTGCTTACTTAGGTCAGTCTTGGAATTTAAGACTCAATTTTAAAAGATTATTTTTATGCTAAAAAATATGAGTGCAAGTTTTACTAAGCTAGCATTTCTGATGATTTCCATGTAAACTGAGTGGATAATTTTCTGTTTATCCTGCAACCCATCAATGAAGATACCAGAACTCAACTGAGAAACTTCCCATCCCCTCGTACCTATTGTGGTTAAACTAGAAATCTCAGTATTGATTTCAAAAAATTGATAAATACATGGCAGATGCCTTTTCAATCTTAATTTGTTTCACTTTGGGGGTCTGAATCTAATAAATTTATTTGCAGTTGACAACATGAGTCAGAGACAACAAAAATTCTAAACTCTTCAATACACTGAAAGCACCAATAACATTCCCTTAGACCAACATTTTTTCCTATCAAGTTATATGAGACAATCAAAATACTTAAAAATTTATATAATTAAAGAAAAGAGAAGCTAGCTTATTTGTTCAGCAATAATAAATAATCAAATCATGTGGTGGTGGTGGTGGTGGTGGTGGTCGGTCAAGTCAGAACTGACTGATAGCTGACCCTCCAGCAAGTTTTCAGAGGCAGTAGATCACATAGGAGGAGACTGTCCATCCTTCTCCCACGGAGCTGCTGGTGAATTGCAACGCAGCATCTTACCATTAGCCCCCCTGAGCTCCCTACTCAAAGTTACATAATCTCATTTGTTCCAACAAATGCTACCTGAATCAATGTGACCGTATTTAGGAAGACTCAAAGGAAACATCAATAAATAAATATTTCATTCTTCAAGCAATAAAGGAGAACAGTCTTAAGAGGACTGACTGAAAGACAATATGTAAGTACTTTTGTCATATTTAAAGTAAAACTATTCCCACGCTCCCAAGTGAAAAAAAAAAAGGACAAAAGTGGATCTTATCTATTTCAACATCTGAGATACTCTGTAGATATAGTTTCCAGCAGAAAGTAAACCATTGTTCTTTGTCCATTTCTCACAATGAAGAGATGGTCAAAAAACATTGGCATATCCCCCCAAATTATTTTTCCTCAAATGGTCTGAGGGCATTTTCTACTTTAATAAATATTCACTTCACATTTATTCAAAACTGAGTTGGGGGTGGGGGGAATAGTTCAGCACTAACAAGAATATCTAACTTGGTTGTTTTATGATCTTCCAGGGCAATGGAGGAAGTTGGTGGGGAAGTACTGTGATTCTTAAAATTTTTTTCCGTGTACTATGAGGTCACCTGGAAGACAGCTAGTCTAACCAAGAAAACAAAAATACTTTGAATGTTGTATCCACCAGTCACTGAGTATCAGGCTTCAATGTCCCTTTTAAACACACTTAAACAGTTTAATAAAAGTTTAGACTAAAACTGTTGGCACGCAGCATGCTATGCCCAGGGTAATGTAAAAAAGTTGACAGTCACTTTAAATTTAACATGTTCGACTAAAATTCCCAACAGTCAACCCCTTATTGGACACAGAGTGCACATTGCAAGCATGGCCAGTACTTATAAACCACAATGCTCTGCAAGCCAACCTGACTGCCATGTGCCTTTTCTATCCAGTCTAATTTTCATGTGTATCAGATTAAAAATGAGTGCTGTTTACATAGTGGCGGTCCTCCTGAGCACTTTTACGAGCTGGTGTTTGGCCACTCAGGCAGCTATCTGAAGATACTTCAATGGCTACATCCATCATATCTCTTCTACAGAGGTGGTCACTTCCGTAGTTGTCTAGCACCGGTCCCCCGTTCTGCTCAGCACAGCCATTGACGTGGGCCAGGGGCAAGGCCCCGGGGGGACAGCATAAGTATTTCACACAGTTCTTGGAAATGCAAGGTGAACTACACAGCAAGAGCAAGTCCTTCTGTTGTGGAGTCTCCTTGAAATCTACATTTTCAAACTGGATGGTCACATTGTGGATCCCCACACTGTGGAAGATTTCTCGAATTTTCACATTGGCGTCCTCATAGCCCTTGTCTTTTTCATACTTGACATGCAGGGTGGCAATAATCTTTCCATTTATAAGTTCCCAGACGTGCACTTCATGCACACTACTGATTCCAGGCACGTTAGAAAGCTTACTCACTAGAATAAAGAGCAGAGAAAGCAAAGGTGAGCCTTGTAATTGGGTGGGACCTGTGGGAAGGGTTTCGTCCCCTTAAGCTTTCTCATCAGAATACCTGCACAGTTACTAAAAACTGTTGATGTTGTGTTGAGTCATTATAAACACAGTGACCTACTCTAGGACACAGTACAATTGTCCCATTGGGTTTCCAAGGCTTTAAACTTTATTAGAGCTGATCTTTTCTTTCAAGGAGCAGCTGGTGGATTCAAATTATCAATCCTTTGGTTAGCAACTAAGTGCTCAGTCTATCAAGAGGACTCCTATATACTGAAAGTTACAGATAGAAAAACAGCTGTCCCTGTAGAAGCACATTCCTTCCTCATCTTTCCCTTCTCTGAATCCTTACACCCACAAATGTTTAGCACTATAAGAGGCAATTAAAAAATATAGACTTAACAAAAAACATTTCATATTAATTCCCCAAGGTTACTGAGACTGCTAGTGGGAATATAAAGCCCAACGTGTTTTTTAAGGGGATAATTTGGCAATATGGATCAAAAACCTTTAACATGTGATCAGCATCTCGAGTTTCAGAAATTTATTCTAAGGAAAAGAAACACAAGTGTTCCAAATAATTAAATGGAAACAATAAGGAAATAACTAAAACAAAGTTATACATAGAAATGTAACATAGAAATTAGATATTATAATTGTTGTTGCCTTCAAGTTGAGCACGACTCATAGCGAGGCTATGAACAAAAGGCTTGAAGTCCTCTACAACTATCAACATTTGAAAAAGTTCGTAGGGTTTCTTGTGCTCGCTTCGGCAGCACACATACAAAGTTCATAGGGTTTCCAAAGGCATGTTATTTAGGAAGTAGATGCCACTGCTGCTTCCAGATATAATGGTTATTGAAATAATGAGCTGCTGAAAAATATTTAATGACATAGGGGGAAATACACGAAATCGTTTAAAGTAAAAAAAAAAAATTATAACCAAACTCTATAATATGATATAGTCTTTTTCTCACAAAACATTAAACTAGATGCACTAAAATACTAAAGTTATTAATATCTAAATGGTACTCACCCTAAACCCATTCTTCTTATTTTTTTTTTTTTGGCTCTTTTATATTTTCCAAATCCTCTAAGTGAGTAAATATTTAAAGTGATAGTAATGTAGTAGTGATTATGAGCAAACACCTTGTAGTCTGAGTTTGAATGCCAATTTAGTAAATTTATTACCCACATGGCATTAGACAATTCACCTAGCCCCTCTGTGCCTCAGTTTCCTTATCTATAAATTAAGAATGACAGTAGTAAAAGATTATTTTAAGAATTAAAATGACTCCCTGGTAAAATACTTAACCTAGTTTATATGATTGTCATTCAAATGTTATCATTCTTACTTGCTTTACATTTTTTTTTTAAACAATGCTTTTGAATTACTATTTATAGGCATCTGAGATTTTGTTTCCCTTCCTCATTCTCCACTGCAAAACATTGTTTTTCAAAATTCTAAAAGCAATATTTTTACTTTGTTAAAAAAGACAATCTAAGTCAATATACATCACAAACTGTTTTCTATATGTTTATCTTATCTCCTCAGCTTCAGTTCCTAGAAGGAGAAAGACTATGTGGTATCTCTATCTACTCCTCTGACTCACCTCTCCACTCCCCACTACCACCTGTCTACAGCACTCCATGAGAGGGGAAAAAAGCACATTGTTCTAAATCTGTACTATGTTGGGTACACCTATCAGACAGTTGATCAATGAACATAGCCAAAGGTCAAAGAGGAGCTGGAACATCAGGGGGAAAGAGCATACATTGGAGCAACAGCTATTAGCAATGGGAAGACTGCCTGGTGGTAAGAAGCTGCACTGCAAAGCCAAAGGCATGTGGTTGGAATCTACTGGTGGGAAAAGGATGGGCAATCTCCTCTCTTGTGATTGACTGCTTCTAAAAACCAGCTGGAGAGTCTGCCATGGGTCGTTTCCAACAGGATAGCACACAACAACTCGTGGTAAGGAATTGCACTGCCGACTCCAAATCTTGCAGTTTGAATCCACCAGCTGCTCCATGGGAGAAAGATGGGCAATCTTCTCCCATGCAATTTACGGTCTCTTAAAATGGACTGGAGGCTAAGCTATGAGTCAGTTTCGACTCCACTACACATAACAACAACAATTAAGTGAGCATAGGGATGCAAGACTGTAACCTTCACAAAATAGTCACATCTTTGCCAGAGAAGAGTCTAGCTAGGTTATCCAACCCATTATAATGCATTTTAACACGATCTTAGGTATGTGTGAAGAAACAAAATGCTTAAAACTTTGCATCTCAGCATGGTCTGGGCTCCAATTCATATTAGCTGGCTCACTAGTAAGACCATAATGAATATAGTAATGACAAATACGTATAGACTAGTCAGGTTTTTTCTGTAAAAATCAGTTTTCGTCTAGAGTGTTAGAAATAAAATCATGCATTCAGTTTCTTCCCCAAATCTGAATAGTTTTTATTCAGAAATTCTACAATGTTCACTCTGAGAATCACATAACTGAAGTGAGATTTGTCTTTTTTGGGCAAAGCAAAGAAACAGATTTCATTCCTAAGTGAGGGACTGAGTGATCTAAATTAAAAAACTATCCTTTTTACAATGTCATTAGAGACGTGCTGGTTTGTATGCTTACTAAAATCAATACTTGAGAGTGCGCATAAATTAATATTCAACTGATGTCTTTCCAAGTAAGGTGGGTAAAATATAAGTTCTTGGCAGAACTGGTCTTGACACTGTGAAGATAAATCTTTGCCGTAAAAATAAATAGCCCTGAAATAAGTACTGTTCAAAATGTACAGTTGAGTCAGAGAATCACGGGCTAGAAAGGACCTTTGATTCCTGCAACTATGAGTTGACAGAACACATGACAAGAGGTCCTTATCTCCTGGTCATGTGAAGTATTTAAGAAGCATACATACATCAGACACTGCTGTGAAATAATGCAAGCCTTTGGCCTGAGTAACAGGAAATCAATAGTAATTCTAGATCATAGTCCAGTCACTTACTCAGCTGTTCCATGTCGACTCCTCTGGGAACCATCTGGAGCAGGATGGTAGCAGTCTCTTTGATAAGTGGAAAGGCAGAGGACAAAATGATGATGACCATGACCACAGTGAGGCTGGGGTCAATGTAGCACTGCCAGTTACAGGGGGCATCCCGACTCAGGGGGTGCACATAGAATATGATGGCCGTGATCACCACCACCACAGACCCCAGAGCATCTCCCATCACGTGCAAAAGGACACCTGCCGGGGAGAAAGAAGACAGCTAACGCACAAATCCGAGTCGGAAGCCACATGATACTCCCTGGCGCATCATCTCATGTTTTTACACCTCTTGCTAGAGGTTTCCTTCTCAGAACGCATGGTGGGTTAGGATGCAAAAATCATGGCAACTATTCTGCAGAAGACAAATGATGAGCTCACCCTCCCAAGGCACAGAGAGCCTAGGAAGGATGAGCGTATGGAAGACTCTGACTAGCTGACTCCTGAGGGAGGAGGGACTGTCCTTTCACGATGCTATTAGCACTGCCCACTGACCATCAGAGGGCACCAACCAAGAAAGGAGATTGTGTAAATGTTTTCTTTTTCATTCAGTTTTTGCTGTGACTTGTTTTAGCCATCCTTACAAGGAAAGACAACTAGGATGTATTAAGAGACTTTCCATTTTCCCCTTCTGTGTATGTATTTGTGCAGCCAACCCAAAGGCATAAGGTTCCACATCATCAGTGGTCCTATGGGAGAAAGGGGCAATCTCCTCTCGTGCAATGTACTACCTCTGAAAACCCACTGGTCAGCGATGAGTCAGTTCTGACTCAGCAGCACACAACAGCAACTGGGGGGGGGAAATGTTAAAACCAATTGCTAAGTCAATTCCAAGTCATGGCAACACCACGTGGGACAGACAACTCTGCTCACTAAAGTTTTCAAAGTCCAATGGATCTCCAGACCATTCTCACAAGATGCCTCTCCAGGTGGACATGAACCTCCCAATTTTTTGGTTAGCAACTAAGTCCTCAAGAACTAGAATGTTTCCACTTAATGTTGTTGTGCCATTGACTTACTTACGACTCACAGCGACCCTATGTACAACAGCTCTAAATTCTGCTTTGTCCTGTGCCAATCTTACTGTCTGCAACACACCTACCCCCACCACCCTAGTGACTGAATCAATCCATCTCCTCAAGGGTCTTCCTCTCCTGTGCAGTCCCTCCATCCTCCCAAGCATGATTGATGTCCCTCTCCAAGGCCTGGTTCCTTCTTGCAATATGCCCAAAGTATGTCAGACAAGGCTTCAGAATCCTTGCCTTCAGGGAGCAGCCTGGTTTCACCCTCTCTAAGACAAATCTGTTTTTTCTCCAGCATGGTATATTCTCCATGGTATATTCAATACTCCTCTCTAGCACCACAGCTCAAAGGCATCAATTCTCCTTCTGTAATCTCTAGTCATTGTCCAGCTTTCTGATACATAGCAAGTAACTACAAAGACTATGGCCTGGATCAGGCACACCTTATTCTCCAGACTAACATCATTCATTGCTCTTCCATACTCTGGAGAGGTCCCTGACAGCAAGCAGACTTTTCCAATGCAATTCATCTTTTAATTTCCTGGCTGCTGGTACCCTTAATAACATGTCTTTTTTTGTAATAAAATTTAAATGTTATGGATAACATAACACTTAAAAAACTGTGGCAGATTTTATCTAAAGAAACAATTCCTAAAATATAAATGATAGTACAGAAAATGTACCTCAAAAAAACCCCACCAAAACAAAAACAAACAGTTGCCACCAAGGAGGTTCTGAATTGGGCCCATGTGTTTCAAAGTATGAATTAAACAAGGTTCTCAAAGAATACATATAGCGACAATATTGGGTAGTGTATGCCTCAGCACTTCACATACTTTAACTCCTAGCAACTCCATGAGGCAGGCAATGCTATTTTCATAAATAAAAGAATTAGAGATACAGAAAAGTTCATCAACTTGCCCAAAGTCACATATCTCTTTAAGGGTGGCAAAACCAGGATGCAAGCCTGCTTTAAGTCCAAATCGCAATCTTTTAGGCATTGCACTGTCCATCTCTATCAAAAGCCCCAAGTACAATTTTGCCAGTACTTGTGGACAGTAGGGCTGGGCCAGGTACAGGAAAGCATTTCAGGACTGGCATTTTCCACCCAAGAGAGTTCCAACAACTCCAGAATCAAAATTAGCAAGATCATACAAAGTCCTCCCCAATCAAGGTCACAGTATCTATTGAGATCTACTCTTCATTCTTCTTTGCTTCTTTCCAACTAACTGTACTCTTTGTCCATTCTGTAACATAAGATATGATAAAGTAAGCACTTTAGCAGAAAGTTCTAGGATGATAAAGTTCAATCTTAATGTAAAATATGTTTTTTTTTAAAAAAGGAGAAAGATACATTAAAGGATGATAATTTTTTTCACTTTTTTTCCTCTTTCTACCAAAATTCACCTCCATTTTCTTACCACCCCCCAAAAATTAAAATTATAAAAAAGTTGCTACAGAGTTATTTACAACTCATGATGACCCCATGTGTATCCAAGTGGAACTGTGCCCAATACAATATTCAATGGCTAATTGTTCAAAAACAGAGCTTCAGGCTTTTCTTCCAAAGTGTCTATGTAAATTCAAACCACCAATCTTTCAGTTAGCTGTGAGCAAGCTTATTAACAATCTTTACCACTAAGTTCTTTTGGAATACTCTGCTGCATTTCCATTTATTTAAAAAAATTTCTTTTGGAACTTTTCAGAAGCTCCTGTGTTATAACCGTTTTCCCTACAGGTCCATTCTGGGAATCTCTTTGTACAACAGATATGTGGCTCTCAAAGCTGAAGGTGTCTCTTGTATTATTAGGTTTATTTCTTTCTATTGATTCCTCTGAAGCAGTTTGACAGGCTTCCTCCAACCATCTCATCGTAAAGATGTTAAGCCACTTGGGATCATTCTGAAGCATAGTCTGTGCCTGAGAAGCTGAGAAGTTGAGATGTGCTGAAGTACTACAGAGTGATGCGAAAGGCACCTCTGCCTCAGCTGGCCCATCTGTGCCCCAGGAATGCAGTGAGGTAGGAGGGTAGTGCTAGTGCCTCTCTCATCCCCTGCCCTACCTTCCCTGCCCATTTGGGGCCCAGAGGTGGAGATTCAAGTGAGACTAAAGACCCTACAGAGAAGAAAATTTCTGGCAGAATAACCGAGGCAGTTGTCATTCAGCAAACGCAATTTAGGGCTTAACTTTGGATAGTCTCGTCTTAATTTTACTAAAATTGCATTCAATGCTTTTAGGGAGTTAAATTTCTAACTGGGGTGATTTAAAAATATCTTTGGAAATGGGTAGAGTACATGATTATTGAGTGATTATAATGAATGCCATTTAAAAATGCTTAATACAGAGAAAAATGTATTATGTATTTGTTACATAAATTAATCAAAATTTTAAATTACATTTTAAAAATGCATGTTGTTGTTGTTATGTGCCGTCGAGTCGCTTGCAACTCATAGCGACCTTATGTACAAAAGCCCTAAACTCTGCTCTGTCCTGTGCCAATCACACTGTCTCTGACACTCCCATCCCAATTATCTCAGTCACTGAATCAATCCACCTCATAGAGGGGCTTCCCCTCCTGTGCTGTCCCTCCACCCTCCCAAGCATGATGTCCCTCTCCAAGGACCGGTCTCTCCTCACAACATGTCCAAAGTATGTTAGACGGAGCCTCAGAATCCTTGCCTCCAAGGAGAAACCCAGTTTAACCCTTTCCAGGACAAATCTGTTTGTTTTCCTAGCAGTCCATGGTATTCTCAATACTCTTCTCCAGCACCACAGCTCAAAGGTATCAATTCTCCTTCTATCCTCCTTGGTCATTGTCCAACTCTCTGATGCATAACACGTGATTGTGAAGACCATGGCCAAAATACATAGCAATTAAAATCAGCTGTATTTCTTTTAATTTTAGGGTTTTGTTGTTTTGGGATTTAGGTTGTTTTTGAGGGTTTTTTTATTCTCATTTTCTGTTAAAAGTATCCAGGTCTGGGCAAACTTGGTAAAGTAGTGAAGAGTCACTGATGTATTATTAAATTCTAGAGTAGGTGGCATTATTAGCCTGAAGATAAGTGAGCCACATAAATCATTAGCAACCCTTTCTCCTTGAGAATAGATTCTTTGATTAGACAAGCATCAGGGTCAAAATCTGGCTTTGTCATCTATTTATTCTCAAGCATGCTGCTGCTTTTGCAGAAAGTTATGCAAAAATCAAGAGCACAGTTCAACCCACATAAGCCAGCAAAGGATTTCAAGCTGACCCCAGAGTCAACCTACCTCTGATATTAAGAGCTGCGGACTTTTTCTCCTTTTTCATCATTTCTTCAGGCTCATTCTGAGTGTTTAGGGAATCACCTGCATTCAAAGAAGAAACCTTGTGTTGTGTATAAGTTCTAAAAATAAAAAAAAAAACCAATGGACTAAAAAAAATGGTTTTGTTAAATTCTTGCTAGCTTATCAAAGATACAGAGATACACAGATACACACACACACACACACACACACACACACACACACACACACATTGTGCCAGCATCTGGGACTTGCGCAGTTTGGCCTTGGGACCCCACCTTTGGACTTGAACCTATACGTGTCTCCAAATTAAAACCATAAACGAGGGAAAGTGGAAAATTCTCACCCCAAAATCTTTCATTGACAAAAAGACAAAGGGATGAACAAGAAGGATGAACAATGAGGTTGGGGGAAAGGCTAGATTCAGAAAGCAGTTGAGTGGTGGGGTTAAGAGAGTGGATGTAGAATGGTTGAGGAGAGCTACCTGTTGCTAAAAAAGAACGTTGATTTCCAAGAACATCAATAAATACTCTTACATAGAGACAATAGGGGAGGGTGGGAGAAGAGGCAAAGGGGTCTGAGAGTCCAAGAAGAAAGGAAAGTGTGGAATTAATAGAAGAGAAATGAGAAGCCTGTAAAGGAAAAGCATTTAAAACCAGCAGATTTTAAGGAATGAAGGGCGGGGACTGGGGAAAAGGGACTGGACGGGTGGAGGGGGGCAGGCAAAGGGGCGCAAAGGATGCAACCGAGAGGCACCTGCTACGTTTGAGAACACCGTTGCCCCCTTCTCCTTCCTTTCTGCTGGGGCCACCCGGAGAGTCACAGCCGAGTTTGTCCGGGTGGAGGCCTGCGGCTGGCTCTCGACACCCTGCAGCTCCCCAAAATCGCCACGAGCGCCGCTCTCAACCGGTTGCTGGCGGCGACGGCGGCAGCAGGAGAACCAGGAGGCGCAGTCCTGGAAGATGAGCAGCCCCACCACGTTGACTGCCAGCCCCAGAGCCCCAACGATCAGCACCAGCTTCGGGTCGTCGATGCGCTCCGGCCGGGCCAGGCGCAGAATGGCCTCCACGAAGATGGTGAAGCAGAGGGCGGTGAGGAAGACGGCGTTGCTGAGCGCGCCCACCACCTCCGCCCGCCCGTAGCCGAAGGTGGCCTGGAGGCCCCTGGCAGCTCGGCGCGCGATGAAGCTGGCGCTCAACCCCACGCACAGCGAGATCAGGTCCGAGAGCATGTTGAAGGAGTCGGAGATCAGAGCGATGGAGTTGCCCAGGTAGCCTGAGACCAGCTCGGCCACGAAGAAGGCGACGGTGAGCACGAGCATGAAGATCAGCCGGCACGTCTTCCCCGAGTAGCGGCCCATCGCGGCCGGCTGATCTGCTGAGCGCGCAGCGCGCTCTTGCCTGCAGCGCGCTGTGGAGACGAGCGCGCCCGAGCGCAGCTCCAGCAACAAGTGAGGGCGCGGCCGCGGGGGGGCCTGGCTCCACCGAGGTCTGGCACCCGTCTCTCGAGGGCTTCGCCGGCTTTTATAAAGCAGAAGCAAAGCCTCCCCAGACTCTCCACGTCCAGCTGCGGCCTGGTCCTGACTTCTGGGGCTTCTCCTGCTTTTATAAAGCAGATCCTGAGCCTCCCCAATCTCTGCGCGTCCAGAGTCTAAAGGAGTGGCCACCTGCCCGGGTGGCGGTATCTATAGAGGATTTACACCGCCTCCCTGTGACCTCTTCCCTCCTGTTCTGGGCTTAACCTGGCTGGTGGCCATGCGTCAGTGTCTCTCCGAGGGCAGAACTGGGCAGAAAGGGAAGCCACTGAGATGGGGGAATGTGTCCAAATGTCTATCCTCACAGACTTAACAGAGGTGGGTTCCACCTAGTGACCTCGCTTCTCCAGTCCTTCCTGAATGTCAATTCTTCTAGATAAGGGCCTCACTACTGTAGGGCGGGTTCTCCAAGGTGGATGAGGCTGCCATCACGTACTGCCCAGAAGTTGCTTGCATTACAGATTCCATAATTGCCCATTAAGTAGCAGGTGCTGACTGTCCACTTCTCTGTACAGGCATTAACTAACTCAAATGGCTCAGCCTCTAGAGAGGCTTCTTACTTTCCATTTCCTTAAACTGGGGTTAAACCCTTCTAGTCTTCCCACTCCACTATGACCTGTCCCCTATGTCACTCACAGTCTTCACCTTTCTAAGTCCTTCATTCCTATCCGACTGGAACCAACTCAGCTGACCCTGCACTCGGTTTTCCAGGCTACGAATTGTATTGGGTTTCCAAGACTGTAAACTTTCACCCCCAGAGTCACTGGTCCATTTGAATCACCGGAGAGGTAAGGTCTTTGGGTTAACAATGCAACTCCCTACAGATTAGGCCACCAGATTCCCCCCCCCCCAAACTTCACGAAGGTCACATTTTAATTACTGTGACCTTGTGGCACAATATCTGGACCCTGTGTCTCCCCTGGAAATCTTCAGCCTCACAAACTCCTTCCAGAAGTGAGTCACAGGCAGAAAGGAGAGCCCACCTTCCTAAACTTGGCACTTCCAGCCTGCACTCAAAATGCAACTTCTCCTCGGTAGACTTAGGTTTCCTCGGCACCAAAGAAGCAAAGACATGGAAGACTCTGTGGTGTCTCCTGCATTGCAGAAACTTCTATATCCAGCCCCCACATTCCCACGTGTCCCTGACACCAGAACCTGACCCCTAGTTCAATCGACTGACCTAGTTCAATTGCCTGGGAAGTTTGATCCAGATAAAGACACTCTTGTTGACAACAGGCTTTGCTCCAAGGCCGGTTCTAACTCCTCACTCACTGCTTCTGGGGAAGGCCAAGCCTGAAGGCCCTTGGAGGAAGATGTTTGCTGATGGTTACTTTTAGGAGTGAGAAACCCTTGCCAATTTCTTCATTGGTTGTTTTCCTTCTCATAGATTTGAAGACAATCTAATAACCTCTAATCTCCCTCCCCTATCTGTAGCCCGTGAACTTTGACTGTTTCTAGAGGAACAACGGAGAAGGGGGGTGGAAACCTGTTTTTGGCTTATAATTGAATGAAAATATCTCCCTCCAGATTCCGGTTAGCAAAATGTTCTAACTCTAGCCCCATTGTCCCAGCCTTGTAAGTCTGGCATTTTAAAATTATTTCTGAGGTTCCCTAACTCTCATGCTAATGAATTCTAGATCACAAATGGACCTCCAAATTCAGGAGGCTCTGTCTGCCTCCAAGGGATAATAACAATAACAACAACAAATGCACTGTCACCTTGAGCAAACTGAGCCCTGAAAGTGCCCTAGAGAGCTCTGGTGGCCTACCTGTTAGAAGATGCACTGCCAAGTCAAGGCAGACAGTTTGAATCCACCAGTTGCTCCTCAGGAGAAAGATGGACAGTCTCCTTCTCTACAATTTACAGCTTCTGAAAACCCTCTGGAGGATCAGCTATGATCGGATTCCAACTTAACAGCACTTATCAGCAGCAATGACAACATAAAAATTCTAAAGAGATTAGTAACTGCCGAACTCTAGTGGCCTAATGGCCAGAAGCTGCACTGCAATCCCAGAGGTGTGCGGTTTGAATCCACCAGATGCTCTGCTAGAGAAAGAGGGACAATCTCCTCCTGTATCAATCAGATCTGATTTGACAGTACACACACACACACACACACACACACACACACGATAGATAGATAGATAGATAGATAGATAGATAGATAATAGATGATAGATAGATAGACCTAAGTCATTAGTAACTTAAGAATAGGGAAAATGTAAAATCTGATATAAGAGTCGAAACTGTGTGAACTTGGTGGTTGGTCTTAATGTGCCATGGAGTCATCTCACAGCTAGAAATTCGTTCTGTCCTACTTCATCCTCACAACCTGCTGTGTTTAAATCCATTGTTACATTTACTGTGTCCATGCATCTCCTTAAAGTCTTCTCTATTCCTGTGGCTCCACCTTTCCAAGGTTGATGTCCACTTCCAAGAGCAGGCTCTCTCCAGATAACATAATCAAAGTTTCACCATCTTTGCCTCTAAGGCTACACTTCTTCAAAGAGACGTCAGTTTGTTGGTTTGTTTATTCTGTTGGCAGTCCACGATATAGCCCTTCATCACCTGGCCTGTTTCCATTTGTTGTTGTTGTTGTTGTTGTTATGTGCCGTCGAGTCGTTTGCGACTCATAGCGACCCTATGTACAACAGCCCTAAACCATGCTCTATCCTGTACCAATCTCATTGCCTCTGACACACGCATCCCGATTACCCCAGTCACTGAATCAATCCACCTTATAGAGGATCTTTTCCTGCCACGCTGTCCCTCTACTCTACCCAGCATGATGTCCCTCTCTAAAGACCTGTCTCTCCTTACAACATGTCCAAAATATGTCAGATGAAGCCCCAGAATCCTTGTCTCCAAGGAGAATCCTGGTTTAACCCTCTCTAGGATGAATCTGTTTGTTTTCTTGGCAGTCCATGGGACATTCAATACTCTTCTCCAGCACCACAGCTCAAAGGCATCAATTCTCCTTCTATCCTCCCTAGTCATTGTCCAATTCTCTGATGCATAACAAGTGATTGCAAAAACCATGGCCTGTATCAGGCGCTCTTGAGTACTTTAGAGAGGTCCCTAACAGCAGATTTTCCCATCGCAATACGTTATTTTATTTCCTGGCTGCTGGTGACTCATAGCCACTCTATGTACACTAGCTCTGAATCCTGCCTTAACCTGACCCAATTTCATTGTCTCCGACAGACCTAATGCCATTGCTCCAGTCAATGAGTTAGTCCATCTCATTCTGAGTCTTCCTCGCTTGTGTTGTCCCTCCACTCTTCCAAACATGATATCCTTTTCCAAGGACTATTCCCTCCTAGCCCCGTGGCCAAAGTATGTGACATGGAGCTTCAAAATCCTTGCCCCTAGACAGCAGCTTAGTTTCACCCTTTCCAGGACTAACTTGTTTGTTCTGGCAGCCCACAGTATATTCAATACTCTTCTACAGCCCCACAACTCAAAGGTATCAATTCTTTTCTCTCATCCTTAATCATTGTCCAACTTTTTGATGAACAAGTAATTGCAAAGACCATGACTTGGATCAAGCGCATCTTAGTGTCTAGAATGACATCATTGCTCTTCAGTACTCTAGAGAGGTACCTGACAGCAGACTTTCCCAATGCAATTTAACTGTTGATCTCCTGCCTGCTGGTGCCAAGAATGCTGATTGTGGAACCAAGCAAACCGAAATTGTTAACAGCCTCACTCTCTTCGCTATCATGAAGCTGCCAATTGGCCCAGTGGTGAGAATCTTTGTTTTCTTGACCTTGAGCTTCAACCCATATTGAAGATTAACGTCCATGACATTCTGTAGCATACACCTTATGTTCTCCTCAGTTTCAGAAAGCAAGATTGTGTCATCTGCATAAGGCAGGCTGTTAATGAGTCTTCCTTCAATCCTGATGCCACATTCCTCCTCATAACGTTTAGCCTCCCAAATACTCTGTTCTGCATGTAGATTGAAAAGGTATGGAGGTAAGATGCATCCTTGATGCACACCTTTCCTGATCCTGAACCACGCGTTGTTTCCTTGCTCTATTCTTCCTAGTGCTTCCTGGTCCAAGTATAGGTTTCGCATGAGCACAATTAAGTGTTCTGGGATTCCAAATTTTCTTGAGGTTAACCACTATTTGTGTCTGGCAAGTCATAAACACTCAATAAATATTAGTGGTGGTAATACCAAGACACTTAATTGTGGTCATCCAAAATCAATACATAAAACAAGAGGCTGTTGTCTGAACAAAGGGGAAAAAAATACTACATGGTTTAAAACCAGGAAAACATGTGCCTCAGGATTGTATTCTTTCTCCATGCCTGTTCAGTCTGTAGGCCAAGCAAATCATTCAAGAAACTGGACTACATGAAGATAAATGTGACCTCAGGATTAGAGAAAACCTCACCTACAACTTTATTATGCAAATGACTCAAAATTGCTTGCAGAACATAAAAAAGACTTGAAGCACTTACTGCAGAAGATTAAAGACCGTAGCCTTCAATATGGACTATACCTCAACATCTAGAAAATCAAAATCTTTGACACTGGACCAATAGGCAACATGATGATTGATAGAGAAAAGACTGAAGTTGTCAACAATTTTATTTTACTGGATCCATAATCAACACCCATGGTGGCAGCAGTCAAGAAATCAAAATATACCCCCAAAAAAGTTGTTATTGGATGTACCCAAACCTTAAGAAAAAAAATCCATTAAAAAATAAGTCAAAATATATATTTCATTGAAAATATCTGCTGTAAAAGGCCTCTTCAAATTTCTAAAGAGCAAGGATGTCAATTTAAAGATTAAGGTGCACCTGTACAAGT